GAGGTTGGCCCAGGATCGGACATTGTTTCGTTCTGCTGTGCATGGGGTCACTATGAGTCGGTTCCGACTTGATGGCACCTGACCACAACAACAACAAAACAAAAAATATATATTCATTTAAACGTCCAGAGGGCACATTCTGTCAGTCAGCATCCTGCCCACAGGCACACAGCCTTTCTCAGTTCGTGAGCCTAGAGCCCACAACTGCTCTGTCTCTCCATGCTACTGCCTCTTATGCAAAGGCTTTTAACTGTGTAGATCATGACAAATTATGGATAAGATTGTAAAGAATGGGTTTTCCAGAAATACTTAATTGTGCTTAGGAAGAGCCTCTACACAGACCAAGAGAAAGAAAAGAACAAGGGGATACTGAATGGTTTAAAATCAGAAAAGGTGTGTGCCAGGGTTGTATCCTTTCACCATACTTGTTCAATCTGTCTGTTGATTAAATAATCTGAGAAGCTGGGTTGTATGAAGAAGAATGTGGCATCAGGATTTGAGGAAAACTCATTAACACCTTATGACATGCAGATGATTCAACCTTGCTTCCTGGAAGCCAAGAGGTCTTAGAATATTTGCTGATTGAGATAAAAAACTACTACCTCAACATAAAGAAAACAAAAATCCTCAGAACTGGATCAATAAATAACATTGTGATAAATGGATAAAAGATTGAAGCTGTCGAAGACTTCATTTTGCTTGGATCTGCAATCAAGACTTTTGGAAACAGCAGTCAAGTAATTAAATGACATATTGCATTAGGCAAATCTACTGAACAAGACCTCTTTAAAGTGTTCAAGAGCAAAGATACCAGTTGGAGGACTAAGGTGTGCATTACCCAAGCAATCACCTCCACTGCATTTGAATGTTGGATAATGAATAAGGAAGATTCCAGAAGAATGTATGCATTTGAATTATAATATGGGAGAAGAATATTAAAAGTACCATGGACTGTCAGAAGAACAAACAAATCTGTGTTGAAAGAAGTACAGCCTGAATGCACCTTAAAAGCCAGAATGGTGAGACTATCTCTCATACGTTGGACATGTTATCTGTAGTGACCAGTCTTTGGAGAAGACATCATGCTTGGTTAAGGGGAAGGTCAGTGAAAAGAGAAAGACCCCTAGCAAGAAGTATTGACACAGTGGAGGTAGCAATGGACTTAAGTGTAGCAATAATTGTGAGGATGGCACAGGACCGGATAGTGTTTTGTTTTATTGTTCACAGAGTAGCTTATGAGTTGGAACCAACTCGACAGCACCCAACAACAACATATCAGATAGGAACGATTCTAACACTCTATTGGTCTTCAAATGTATACTGTAATTATCCTTATTACCTTATTATCCCATTTCTTTTCTTTTCTTCACCTTGGAATTAAATGATACTTTTCTTCTAGCACTCTTTAGATTGTTTTTTCTTGAGACAGTCAGAAAACTCTGACCTCCAATATTCCTACTTATCCTGAATGGCCTATACTTTACCAAATTGACCAATTAGCTCACTCCCAAACAGAGCTTGTAAGTTTTGCTTTGGTGGTTTTACTTGTTGTATTAGTTAGGGTTTTCAAGAGAAAGAGAACCAACTGGATGCATAGCACATACTTTATTTTTAAGAAATTGTTTCATGTGATTTTGTGGGCTGTCAAATATGAAATTTGTGGGGTGGGATGGTAGATGGGAAACTCAACTTTTGTTTTTAAAGCCTTCTAATTTATTAGGTGAGTCCTATCCACATTGTTGAGGGTAATTTCTTTAATTCATGTCAATGGTTATAGATGTTAACCACATATGCAAAGTAGCTTCAACAGCAATATCCATACTAGTATTGTGTTTTATACTAGTAAATAACTGGCCTAGCCACCTTGACATATAAAATTAACCATTACAAAATTAAGCTATTCCATCTAGGTTTCCCTACTTTCTGACTTCTGAATGATCGAATTGTGTCCATTCTTTATGATCCAGCTTAAATGCCATAGTCTTTATTAAACATACACTCTCCTTTATCCAATTTCCTGCCTTTCCAGTTCTCTTCTTTCCCCACTTCCTTATGGACATTATTCTGAATCTTGTGCTTAATCTTACTTTTCTTCTTCATCTTTTTTTTTTTTTTATAGTATTGCTTATCTACATGTATTCCTTAAAAGTAATTTTAATCTCTTTTAGATTTTTAAAAAGTATATCTTGATATATAATCTTTTGGATTTATGTTTTTTTTTCTCACTTAATAAGGAGTCCTGGTGCGGCACCATGGGTTAATGCACTGGACTGCAAAGTCAGTTTGATCAGCAAGGTTGGCGATTAAGCTCACCAGCCACTCCTCGGAAACCCTATACAGGGTCGTTATGGTTTGGAACAGACTCAATGGCACATAACAACAAGAAGATTCATCTATATTATTGTATGTCTTAATTATCTATTGCTATGCAGAAAATTACTCCCAAACTTTGTGGTTTAAAAAAAAAAAAGCCACATTTAAATAGAGGTTGTTGTTAAGTACCATCGAGTTGGTTCTGACCCATAGTGACCCTGTATAGGGTTTCCAAGGAGCAGATGGCGAGCTTGAACCAAATACTGTTAAATATTGTGGTGCTGTGGGCTAATGCGTCGGACTGCAAAGTCGTTTGAACTAAAACGTCAGAGGTTCAAGCTCACCAGCTGCTCCTTGGGAATCCTATACAAGGTTGCTATGGGTTGGAATTGACTCGACGGCACTTAACAACAACAACAACAAGAGGAGGTTGCAATCATTGGCATGAAGCAAAGTATATGATTTGTTGAACGTAAAACTAATGGTCTGCTCTGTAAATCTGTACTCAATTCACAATAAAAAGCTTTAAAAAGATCACATTGTCATATGGTTTCTGTGGATCAGAAATTCAGGCACAACTTAAGGGATGCTCTATATCATAGTCTCTCATGAGGCGACAACTAGGGTGTTCCTGGGCCACAGTCACCTTAAGGATCATCTGGAGCAGATCTACTTCCAGGCTCACTCAGTGGCTGTTGTCAATATCCACTTCCTTATGGGCTTTTAGATGGAGATTTTTGCTCAGTCCTCACATACACAGATCTTTGCTGGTCCATGGCCAGAGGTTGCCCTCAGATCTTTGCTTGATAAGGTGGTGATTTTGGTTAGAGCATGCAAGAAGAGCCAGGAGAGAATACCAGCAAGAGAAATGTCACAGTCTATTGTAACTGATTCATAGAAATGATATCTCTTCTCTGTTGCCCTATTGTCTTTGTTATAAGCAAGTCACCATGCCCAGCCCCCACTCCAGGAGAGAGATCACCCAAGGATATAAATACCAGGTAGCAGAGATCATCAAAAGCCATGTCAGAAACTGCCTACTACATTATGTATCATTGTAATTTACTGGTTTTAACTGAGACACATTTTGTGTGAGTACACCACAGTTTCTGCTCCTGTTTGTGGGCGTTGGTTCCCCTTGCACCCTACGGGGGTTTTGCTATTGTGCACAGTGACGCCATAGACATGGAAAGGACCATACTACTGAATCATTACTACTGCACTAGAATCATTCCTAATTAAATGTGAGTCTTCTTTGTAACTTACATAGCACCTACACAAAACTATTAATATGTTTTCAGTAAGTAATATTGAGTAAATGGATTCTATCTAAATGTCTCAGCTGAATTTTTCACTAAAGTGTGATTCCAATACTCCAACTGTATTTCTCACTTCTCCTAAACATAGATAGATCCCTGATCAGGCAGATGTATCTTTTTAACATCCTCCTTTAGTATTTCCTGAATTTATCAAATCCATGTAGATCTCTTTCTTTTTCTGTTCTTAAATTTGAATTTGAAATTTGTATTACACATTTAGCACTTTATTATGTATCACACATAGTAGGTACACAATAAACATTATTAGTTGGATGAAATATTTTATTTTATAAATAATTTCAACCAATTAATTCTTTTCATCTTATCTCCTTTAACTGGTCAAATTATATATGTAGGCAGCCTCTATATTATGAATGAGTTCTTCCCTAAATCTCTCTTTAAGTCAAATTTGCACATAAATCAGAGCAATTAAGTATGGTTTGTATCTAATATCAGTTAATCAAATGTTTGTCTTAGTACATAGTGTACCTTTCTATGCATAAAAACCATTAAAGAAATACTTTCAGATACACTAAACCATCTTTACCATAGTAATGCAGTAATAATAATGTTTAGATGCATATCACAAACTAGTGCCCATTCGTAATGAACATTATGTACATCAAATTTTTAATCTCACAGGTTTTCCAGGATTGGTTTGTAACTCTGGGCTGTAGGTCAAAAATTTGTAACCTGGGGACTACCTGTATACACATACTGATTTGAGTCGATTTATATTACTGTTTTTTATCTTAGGACTTTCTGCAATTAATGGAGTCAGAAAGACCCATGGAGTCAAAGAGTTCAGAAAAATCAATAGCTGTTTCACATCAAGAAGAAGAAACAGCTGAAGAACCAGAGGAAGCAGGCGCTGTGAACCCTCTCTTACAGCCTGCTCTCACAGGGAATGTAGAAGGTCTGCAGAAGATTTTTGAGGATCCTGAGAATCCTCATCATGAACAGGCCAAGCAGCTACTCTTGGAAGAAGACATAGTTGGGAGAAATTTGTTGTATGCAGCTTGCATGGCTGGGCAGAGTGACGTGATTAGAGCTTTAGCAAAATACGGTGTGAATCTGAATGAAAAAACTACCAGAGGTATATTGTCTCTTGTCTCTCATCATTATTACCTAAAAAAAACTTATGACAACCAAAAGACATAATGTTATCTTTCAGGTTGGATATATTTAATGTACCTGCTTTATATTTGATATACATATCTTTCTTGTTAGGTGCCATCGAGTCAGTACTGACTCCTAGCAACACTATGCACAACAGAACAAAACACTGCCCGGTCCTGGGCCAACCTCGCAATCGTTGCTACGCCCGAGCCTATTGCTGCTGCCACTGTGCCAGTCCATCTCAATGGGGATCTTCATCTTTTGCTCCTACCCTCCACTTTGCCAAACATGATATCCTTCGCCAAGAACAAGCCCCTTACGATAATCGATCTGAAGTATGAGAGACGAAGTCTGGCCATCCTGGCTTCCAAGGAGCACTCTGGCTGCACTTCTTCCAACACAGATCCGTTTGTTCTTTTGGCAGCCCATGGCACTTTCAATATTCTCCTCCAACACCATAACTCAAAAGCATCAATTCTTCTACAGTCTTCCTTATTCACTGTCCAACTTTCGCATTCCTTCCATCTGCATCATTCAATATTTTGCCCACGAAAGTACCGTGGAGTCAGTTCTGACTCATAGTAACCCTGCACAGGGTTTCTGAGGCTATAAATCTTTACGGAAGCAGAAGACCTCATCTTTCTCCTGCGGAACCGCTGGTATTTTTGAAGTTTTGACCTTAAGGTTAGCAGCCCGATTCGTAACCACTACACTACCAGAGCTCCTTTGCCCATTGTTGTTGTTGTTGTTATTAGGTGCCATCGAGTCGGTACTGACCCATAACGACCTAATGTACAACACAATGAAACAGTGCCTGATCCTGGGCCAGTCTCACTACTGTTGCCACACTTGAGTCCATCGCTGCTGCCACTTTGCCAATCCATCATTGGGGGTCTTCCTCTTTTTCTCAGACCCTCCACCTTAACAAACATGAATCCTTCTCCAGTGACTGGTCCCTCCTGACAATATGTCCAAAGTATGAGAGGCAAAGTTTGGCCATCTTGGCCTCCAAGGAGCACTCTGGATGCACTTCTTCCAAAACCGATCTATTGGTTCTTTTGGCAGCCCATGGCACTTTCAATATTCTCCTCCAACACCATCACTCAAAAGCATCAATTCTTCTATAGTCTTCCTTATTCACTATCAAGCTTTCACATGCATATGAGGTTACTGAAGATACCATGGCTTCGGTCAGGTGCATCTTAGTCCTCAAGCTGACATCTTTATTCTTCAACACTTTAAAAAGGTCTTGTGTAGCAGATTTGTCTAATGCAATGCGTTGTTTGATTTCTTGACTGCTGCTTCTGTGAGTATTGATAGTTGATCAAGAAGAATGAAGTCCTTGACAACTTCAATCTTTTCTCTGTTGATAAGAATATTGTTCATTGGTCCAGTGGTGAGGATTTTTGTTTCCTTCACATTGAGATGCAACACATACAAAGGCTGTGGTCTTTGATCTTCATCAGTAAGTATTTTAAGTCCTCTTTCCCTTCAGCAAGGAAGATTGTATCATCTGCATATTGCAAATTGTTAATGAGTCTTCCTGCAATCCACACTTTCTTCATATAATCCCCCTTCATGGACTATGTGTTCAGTATTCAGATTGGGTAAGTATGGTGAAAGAATAGAACCCTGGCACACACCTTTCCTGATTTTAAATCATTCAGTATCCCCTTGTTTTGCTGGAATGACTGCTGCTTGCTCTATGTATAGGTTCCTCATACAATTATGTGTTCCAAATACTTCACAGTGTTGTCCATAATTTGTCATAATCCACAGAGTCAAAAGCCTTTGCATAGTCCAAAAAGCACAGGTAAACATCTTTCTGGTATTCTTTGCTTTCAGCTATCTAATGTCAGCAATGATATCTCTTGTTCCATGTCCTAATCTGAATCTGGCTTGAACCTCTGGCGGTTCCCTGTCAATGCATTGATGTGGCCATTTAAAAATTATCTTCAGCAAAATTTTACTTGCATGTGGTATTAATGATATTTGCTGATGATTTCTGCATTCCATGTGTCACCTCTCTTTGGAATGGGTACAAGATATGGGTCTCTTCCAATCTGTTGGCCAGGGAGCTGTCTTCCAAATTCCTTGGCATAGATGAGTGAGTGCCTCCAGTGCTATGTTAGTTTGTTGAAAGATTTAAATTTGGATTCCATCAATTCCTGGAACCTTGTTCTTTGTCAGTGCCTTCAGTGCACCTTGAACTTCTTCCTTTGGTACCATAGGCTCTTGATCATACTCTACCTCGTGAAATGGTAGAACATAGACCGTTTGTTTTTGGTACAATAACTCTCTGTATTTCTTCCATCATCTTTTGATGCACCTAGCACCTAGCAATGGCAGGAGGATTATCATCTTCCTTAACAGGTGTTAAAGGCTTAGTCTTCAGACTTCCTCTGTTGGTGTCTTAGGGTCATCATTTATTGGCTGTCCTTGGACAAGTTTCTGAACTTCTCTGGACCTCAGTTTCCTTAGCAATAAAATAGAGATTGTAATAGTTTTGACCTGATAGGATTGTTATGAAACAAAATGAGTTTAATATGTAAATCCAGACTTCCTGGAGCACAATACTTGTTCAATACGTGACAGTCATTTTGCTCTCTTAGTACATGAAATAGCCTAAACTATTGACCTGACCATCTTTGTTCTGTTTGCTAGGTTACACACTCTTACACTGTGCTGCAGCCTGGGGTCGGCTGGAAACTTTGAAAGCACTAGTGGAATTGGATGTTGATATAGAAGCTCGGAACTTCCGTGAAGAAACTGCACAAGACATTGCAACTCGGTATTCCCAGAGTGATTGTGTTGAATTCCTGTATTGGGCAGGTAAGGAAGCTTATAATGTATTAGACAAGTGATTCATTCAGTGTACTTTTCTCCTCTGAATTATAGGCTGTGTCTTCCGCAAACCAAAGAGTTGATATTTTCACCTCCTATCATTATATTGGAGTCCTGATGTGGCACTGTGGGTTAATGCGCCAGACTGCAAAGCTGTTTGAACTGCAAAGTCAGCAGTTCAAGCTCACCAGCTGCTCCTCGGAAACCCTATACAGGGTCTCTATGGCTCGGAACCGACTCCACAGAACTTCACAACAACAATAATTATGTTATATTTTTAGACACAGCTAAAGTTATTGTTGATGATAATATATGAAATCTGCCTTTAAAGAGAAAAAAAATCACTATTGGCCTTAAACAGTGTACTTAATAAGAAGTGTGCATATTAGAAGCTATTCAGTCAGTGTCTCAGAGTCTTAGGATTTCACCCATAATTTTCTATAAGAATATATTGTCGTTGTTAAGTGCCGTCAAGTCGATTCCGACCCATAGTGACCCTATATAGGGTTTCTGAGGAGTGGCTGGTGAGCTTGAACTACCAACCTTGCAGTTCAAATGAGTTTGCAGTTTGACACATTAGCCCACAGCGCCACACCAGGACTCCTATAAGAATATATACACAGAGCTCAATCAGAAGAAGAAAGAAGAGGAAAAAAAGAATAATCTGATACAATTTGATGAACTTGACCTACACCTATGGATGCAGTAGCTCAAAAGAGGGAACAAATCCTTACAGCAAGGATCATTCCCACCATCTCGATACACAGGGTAGACAGGGATGGGCAACTTGGACATTGGCTACCCAAAATGGGGGGCTACAAAGATAAGAAGTGATTGGCTTACAAGCTTTCAAGAGGGAACCTAGATCCAGAGGGTATGGAGGAAGGTAGAATCTCCACTGAGTAGTATACAATCTGTCTAGGCAGGGCTGATGAAATGAAATGTGAATGGGTATCTTGTGATATAATAGTGAATAATTGTTATCACGACTGATTGTGAGGGTTGGAAATGTAAAGGTAGACGTTTTGTAGCAAGGAGGGGAGTGATTAACTTTTCAGCCTAGGAGCAGAGGTCCCTGGTACCATCAAGGGAGAAGAGCAGAGAGCGGGACCCTACCCAGAGAAGCAGTGATGCCTGAGATGGAGCAGTTGGGGACTTTGGACACAGAGAGGGAGAGGGGCTGTGTGCTGATGACCTGGGGGGGCAGGCTTGTAGGTTATACCCTTTGGTTGGTTGATGATGCGTGGAGGGGATTGTAACCATAGCAATGAAATGATATACAATAGGATGAATGTAAATCTAATGTTCTCCCATGTAAACTACCACATACTTCACAATAAAACATTGAAAAAAAAAAGAATATACACAATATATATTCAAGGCCATATTCTGAGAGGCCCATGATGAGTAGACTTTTCCTTAAATACCTTAAAAAATTATATACTTGAGTATCCACCAAACCCAATCTACTGCTGTTGAACAGATTCTGACTCAAAGCCACCCTCTATAGAGTTTCCAAGACTGTAAATCTTTATAGACAGGCTTGCTTTATTGCTTTGAAGTGGCTAATGGGTTTGAACTGCTGACTTTGTGGCTAACAGTCTGGTGCTTATCCTACAGTGCCTCCAGGACTCCTTATAATACATTTGATTTCCCCAGGTAGAAATAGTTGTCATAATAATTCAAAAATTATTTTCTCAGGCATGGGTAATCTATGGTGTTATAAGTCAGACTTGTAAACTTTGTAGCATGAGGGGTCTTTTAAGGTATAATATTCTCTTTTTTGGTCTGGTTGCTGATTGCATGGGCATGTTTATTTGTGATAATTGATAGAGCTTATGATTTGTATTCTTTTCTATATGATGTTATACTTCAATACAAACTCACAAAAACTATTTACTATTTCAGTTTAGATGATAATATTCCCTATATCATTTTCACAGTCCTTTGCAATATAGCTTAGAGAGATTTTAGGAAGATATAGCTGTATAACTATGTATGAGTACAAATCTCGGTTAAAAAATTAGTACTCAACTTTCAGCCAAAATGGCAGCTTAGTCAGACACATAACACTATTCCTCTTGTAGCAAAGACTCAAGAAACTAAGTAAAACAGATGTAGAAGACAGTCCTTGAACCCTGAACATCATCAAATGAAAGGATAAAGAATTGTATCAAACACGAATTGGAAGAATAAACTGACTGTAATCAGCAAACAAAAAGAGGTAGAGAGTAGGGAACTTGCCTGTCAGGCTGGCACAATATGGCCCACTTGAGACCTAGACAGTAGCAATCCTGGATGGGACACACAGAAGGCAACTTTGTGGAATTTCCAATAGGACACAGAGTAACTGTAGACTTACTCAGAGTGAAATGAGGTTCTGGTTGCTAGTTGCAGCCAATGGAAAGAGTATAGGCATCCTCACCCAGTGACCAGAGGAACACATACACTTTCCTCCCACCCTCCTGGTGACTAGTGGCACAAGCCCTCCTGGATTTATGTAGCTCTGACTACCAGGGACTAAAGTACAAACCCTCCTTTTCCCTTCAGTCCAGCTCTATTACAACCAATATGCCCCTCCCCGGCCCCCCAGCCTCAAACACCAACATTCCCCATGTTCAGTGACCCTGTGGAGCTGCAAAAGGTCATTTCATTGAGGTGCTTGCTGCTTGCCCCACCCCTTTCATCCATCTACACAGCTGAGTGGGGCAGACCATTTGCTCCACCCCTTCTATCCACAATGCATCTGAAGTCCCTAACTCCCTCCCCCTTCTCTTACATGGTTAAAGGTAGTGGTAGCATGACCCCACAAATACCTGCCTGCCATTTCTTCTTCCTTCCCTCGCCTGCTGCTCGCTTCTCTTTTCCCCAACCTGGCAAGGCATGGTGAGTGCAAGACCACAGGTAAGTAGCCCACCACTCACATCACCCCAGCCATGTGAGAGATGGTAGTGGTGTGACCTTGTGCTCACCCACACACCACTTACTCTGACCCACAATCTAGGGGAGATGGTAACTGGGCCCTCACTAGCTAGCTATGCCTGTCACATCTGCTGCTCCACCCACTCAGTGGGGTGCTACTGCCTGATCCTGTGCCACTGGACCAATGACAGTGACCAACACCTGTCCAACTTACCCTCAGTTGCCCTTACAGACCAGCGAACAGAGACCCGTACTCACACACCCAACTGCTACTTTACTCCATCCATCCAGAGACAGGTGACAAGTACTCCAGTGCTATAGACTACTGACCAGAGTCACTTGCCTTTTCTGCCTATGATATATCAAAACAAACCATAACAAAAATCAAAATTCAGAAAATAAAATACAATTAACAAGTAAATAAATAACAGCTTAATGCATTGGAAGCAACAGACAATAGCAAATCACCCAAAGAAGGAGGACAAGATGGCTCAAGCAAGTGACCAAAATGAAAATCCAGAATACCTCTCTGAGAAAGAAATAGTAATGAAACTACCTGATAAGGAATTCAAAAGACTTATATAAAGGGCCCTCTAAGAGATCAAGAGTCCTGGTGTGGCACTGTGGGTTAATGCACCAGACTGTAAAGCCATTTGAACGGCAAGGTCAGCAGTTTAAGCTCACCAGCTGCTCTTCAGAAACCCTATATAGGGTCACTATGGGTCAGTACACGGAATACCGGGTCAAGAGGACTCATGAGTTGGTGTTGGAACTCTGTAACAAATATAAAGGTATGTTTGGAGGTTCGG